AACTCAATATCCCAAATGGCGCCAATAAGAATGAATAATATGTAATCTCTTGTGCTGCGGCTTATTCAACCTGCATAACATGAAAGCATTAACATAACGCTAAAAATTGTAAGAGTTATGTAGGAAAAGCTTTACTGAATACAGTACACTATAGGATACGAACACGATATTATGTACATAAAATACGATGTACGAGAAATGAAAATTGTGCTGTGTTGTAAATACAATTTGTTTTCAATTTCTGTTTTTTCTATCCATATTATATTTTCTGTACGCTATTTCTTTTTTTGTAAAAATCTGGCTACAAACAAATTATGTATTATATATATATATAAGATTTAGTTGTGTATTATATACATATATATACAAGATTATGGTGAAAAAAAATTACTGTTTTCCGATTTTAAGTTTAAATAAAAAATTTGCTAGACTACAGCCTGTATAACCAGCAGCGGTATACAGGGTGAACCTGTAACGTGCTATAGTCATTCGGAGCAGAAAAATGGTCGCAAAATAATGTTAAATTCCCATAATCCCAGTTGAAAAATTTTTAGTATTCCAGCTACCAGAAAGAGCCAAAATATTTTAACGAATTTTTTCAAGCACATCGGCCCTACTAATATATTCGCTTGTGTAAAATATCAATATTACAGCTTTTATAGTTTCTGAGATATAGTCAAATAACTTTTGAAGTTGTATGGCAGGTACCAGAAGGAGTCAAGTAATTTCAACGACTTTTATCAGACACATTGGCCCTACTAATATATTCGTTTATGTGAAATTTCAATACAATACCTTTTATAGTTTCTGAGATATAGTCAAATAAGTTTTGAAGTTGTATGGCAGGTACCAGAAGGAGCCAAGTAATTTCAACGACTTTTATCAGACATATTGGCCCTGCTAATATATTCGTTTGTGCGAAACTTCAATACCACAGCTTTTTTAGTTTCTGAGATATAGCCAAATAAATTTTGAAGTTGTATGGCAGCTACCCGAACCGGTACCCCGACCATGTCCAATTTAAATAGGGTTCTGGCACTTTCTACAGTAAATCATTTGTGAAAATTTGGTGAACTTAGCTCAATTAGTTTTTGCGTTATCGTTGGGACGGATGGACGGACAGGCAAAGCTAAATCAACTCAGAATTCGACGCTGATCAAAAACATACACTTGAGTCTATATCTAAGACCGTTATTTCTCAACGTTACAAACGGTAAGGCAAATTTAGTATACCCTTCGAACATACGTTCGTACGGGTATAAAAAGGTGTGTCATTTGGGGTATTACATAAAAAGTTATTGAAGAAATAAGTAAAAGTTTCATTTTTCACAAAATGACCAATTACTAAAGAATTTATCCGATTCAATTTTTTTTTTCATAATTTGAAAGATTTTGAGTTGGTTTTCAATTGACCTCATAATAATTTTTTTCTGTGCGATGCCTTCTATCCGAAATAATTCGGTTCTAAATTGGGAGGTTTCTCGGCAAAATCGTTACTCCCCAATAACAAATGTGGTAGAATGGCAGCTACATATATTTTTGTTAAAAATTGTTGAAGTCTTATGAGCATTTGTGATGGTTGTTATACAACTTCAAATGTTATTTGCCGCATCTTAGAAATATATTCAGAAGCAAATATAATGTTATGGCCGTTATGTCTGATAAAAGCCGTTTAAGTTTCCTGACTACTTTGGTAGCTGTCATAAAACTTCATAAATTGTTTGTTCATAGCTCAGGAACTATTAAAGCTACAAAGCTGAAATATTGAACAAAAGTATTTGGTGATCTGACCATAATTTTCAGTAAAGCTCTTGAGATTATATGCGTTATATGGTAAATTCCATATATGTATGTATGGGGTTGTGTGAAATTGTACGTCAATTATCTCCGACATTTAAAACAATCTGTTCGTAAAAGTATCACAGAGCTGACACGGTCAACTGTATCTATTCTCGCTTTTAATAAAATTGGTCTACCTTTCTGCCCTCGAGAGATTATATCATATTACAGGTTCATCCTGTATAAATTATGGAAGTTCAAGATAAAAATTTTAATTCGAATTAAGAAATAGAAGCTAAAATTAAATTTAAATCAAGAATTTCGCCAAAATGTTTAGTTTTTTTTTATTTTTTAACTTCGCTCAACTTTTACAATGTATTGAAAATATTAATGGTAAACAACAAAATAAACGCGAATTAAGTAATTATGAACAACAAAAGAAACGCGAGAAAGTAAAAACAAAAAATTAATAAAAATTCATAAACCAAAAACAAGAAATTAATAAAAATGAATATACAAAAAAATTTATATAGAGATGGTAAAATTATTGTTTGGAAAGAATGTTAATGTGGGTAAAAATTTGTGGATTTTTCAAATTTTATTTAAAAAATCTGTTAAAAAAGTTATGCTTTTATACTTCAAAGATGCCTACAGTATAAAAAATGATATGAATGTGCGAGATAAAGGCTTAATCCTGTCTCAAACAGAGTTTTATAAAGCACGAAATGATTCAGTCGAAAATCATTTTTTCTTATTATTTTTTTAAATAATTTATATAAAGTTAAAATAAAATATATGGTACAACCCTGTCAAAAAAATTTAGGTCAAATGGGATGTAAAATAACTTCAACTTGTATTTTTTCTTTGTGAATATTTTATTGAAAGAAGTGATTTTAATTTAATTAAAAGTAAGAAAAATTAAAAAAATATCATCAAAAGGTTTATTTATGGAAATATGTTTGCACCCTTTTTATAAAATTTTCGAATTAAATAAAAAAAAATATAGTTCAAAAAAAGAGGGAGAAAAATAAAATAGAAAATATTTTTTAATTTGTTTTCTACGGTTTTATGAATTTACATTATATTTCGTTAATGGATGTGAACGTTTATGTGTATGTGTACCTTAACTCTTTCCAAATCCACAGCATTCATCATAGTTCCCTGAAAAAACGCTACCGTTGTGTAGTGGCGTTTTAAAAGTCCTTCTAATTCCAGATCAGGCTCCTTTCTGTTTTGATTTTGAATTATTTAACATTTTTATACATGTACGCATTTATATATACATAATATAAGTATTAAAAAAAAATACACAATATAAGTATTCCAAGTATATATATATATATCTATCGATATTGTGTATTATACATATGTATATATATGCTTATAGATAGAGTCATTCAGAAAGATATACAAGAACATATACTATTGTTTAGCGGATTAGAAATGGGTAAAAATTTTATCTTAATCTTAAAGGTTTTCGAGTTATAGGGATTTCAAAGAATTTTCATGAAATTTGTGCTTAACCAAGTTTTTCGATTTATATCTTCTCTTCCGAGAAAGATGGGAGCTTCAAATAGGCAGTTGTTGAAAGGGCTAGTAAAGGACACTTTAAAGCAACAGGTTACTTGATTTTGTACCTAATGCACTTTCGGTTTACCAAGCATAACTTAAAAAAATATAAACTTTTTCCTTTTTGTTATTTTTTCGTTTTCTCTAACCCGATAATATTGTACGAAATTTTTTGAAACTTTGAAATTTTATTTTACAGAACTTTGCTCAGCTGCTTAAGATTTAATTTAAGCTCTCAAACGTAATAAGATCCTTTAAATCTTATAACGGTAGTAAAAACAACATTTCTATGTCAAGATTTTAAAGGTGCCTACAAAATATAAAAATTCAAAAAATTATCACTATTTTAATTATTATTGATTTTAAGTCCTGCAATTATCTGTTATAATTTTTGATCAAAATAGTCACTCTAAAAGCAGTTCAAATTTTAAAAAAATTTTAAGAAAAATTTGAACTGCTTTCCAGAAAATTTCTAGCTTGAACAATAGAGCTTTTAGCAATAAATTCTGACCAAAAATCAGAATAATTAACAATTAAAGCACTTAAAATTATTAAAAATTAAAAATAGGCCTTCAGAATCTTAAGCTATGAATGGTTTTTTCTTTATCTCCTGTACCATTAAAGGTTTTTTAACATTTAAATACTTAAATTAAAAGTTAAGCAAGTGGATAAATTCTGTAAAAAAAGTTCCTAAAAATTTGATACGAAATTATCGGGTTAGAGGAAATAAAAAAAATAAAAAAAAAGGAAAATGTTTTTTTTTTTTAAAGTTCGAATACTTTATATCCCGAAAGTACATAAAATACAAAATTAAGTAATACGTTACTTTTAATTCCTTTCAAAAACTATTTGTTTGAAGTTTCTTTTTTCCGGAAGAAAAGTTATAAGCAAAAAAAGTTGTACAAGCAGAAATTTCGTGAAAATTCGTCAAAATTCCTATAACTCGGAAGCCCTTGAGATTTACCACCTAGTTTGGAACAAAAGTTCTATCCGTTTTTGATCTTTTAAACAATAATGGTATATGTTGTTGTATACCTTTCCGATCACCCTGTATATATATACATATATATGTTCATATATATATTTATAAATGTATATGAATATATTTATATATACATACATATGTACATATATATACAAATATAAATCATTACGATACAAAATTACACTATTTTATTTAGTAATTTTTTAAATATATACCATTGGTATATTTGTAACAAGTATTTATGTATAAAAACATGTGTACATATTAATGAAATTATATACTTTAAGGTATATATGTATATATATTTTTGATTTTATTTAACACATACTAATTTTCTTTATTTGTATAATTGCGTATCAAGTGTTATTTCTTAATTATTAATTGAAAAATTTACATTGTAACATGCTGCTCGCATGTTAAGACTTTTTTATTTTTTCCTTTTTTTTATTTTCTTAGAATGCTGAAATAATTTTCATATCTCAAATCGATTTCTAATTCTAAACATATTAAAAAAAAGATTTCTTATATTCTACTTAACAATTAATTGTAAAATTAATTAAATTAAATTAATTAAGTTAATTAAATTATTTTAATTATTTTCAAATATTTCTCAACTCAATTCAAATAAAAAAAAATAAAATGTTTAAATAACAAAACAACAACTTACCGATGTAAAAATACCACTTCAACATCCACATCCTCTCTGTCTTCGTGTAGAAAGTCTTTTAAAAAATGAGACACTGATTCATACGTTATATGACCGCATACAACAATATGTCTATTTATAAAGATGTACCCAAATTTTCACATGATATTTTTGATCATTCACATTTTAGAAATGTAAACGATTAGTTATTATGTTTCAGATGTAAGTGAAAATAAAAAAAAAAAAACAAAAAAAAAACAATATTAGAGCGTTTCTCAAAAATTATTTTGGAAGATATTTTATAAATTTTAAAATTGAATTTTATATGTATGTAATTATAAAATAAATTTTTTTGTGTCTTAAAATTAAAAAACAATTTTGTTTAATCATATTTAATAATTAAAAACAATTTTTGTTAGAGTAAATGCAGCTTTATGTTGTATACATATGTTGATGGAAATTTATAAGTTATGTAAGTATGAAATAAAAGAAAAATTTTAAAATGGAAATTTTAGCAATAAGTTAAATGTATATTTCAAATTTTGTGCATTTATACAAAAGAATAATATTCTGGACGCAAAGTTTGTTTAAATTAATATTTTAGAGTACTTTTATGTACTTATATTCATTAATAACATCCAAATGCTAATTTTCAGTATTTAGTTTTCAATATATCTTTTTAATAAATTTGTTTTAATTAAGTCGGAACCTTGCTTTTCTTGAACCTTGCTTTTAGTCAAATTGGGATCTAACGCCATTTTGATTTATGCAGCGATACAATTTTGATTGAGCTTTTGTAAATTACTTATGTATATACGTATGTATATTTTGTTCGATAAATATTGTAAAGTAAGTACTTTAATTTTAAATTTCTTTTAAACTAAATCTCAGGAATTTTATTTAGGTAAAAGTCGAGCTCTATTTAAATAAAATTATAACATTATTAAAAACATTTTCTAAATTAAAACATTTTTATATTATTATTTTGTATACGCACAAAAATAAAAAGAAAATAAAACAATATCTAATTTATAAAAATATATAATTTTATTCATAAAATTTTTAAAAAATAAAAGCATAACGAACTCAAAAAATATAAAAGAAAACTTTCTTTCTCTCCGAAATTTGTTACACTTTTGTAAAATGACTGTAAAATAAAATATTAATTGAAATATTTTAAATATTATTGCGTGATTTAAAAATCATAATATTAAACTCATATTTGAAGAACCAAAACAAAAAAAACATAAAATTTATTTATGGTGTTTTTTATCTTTTTTTTTTCATGACATGAAACACAAACATTTTTCGCTTCTTTCAATTAAGTATTAATTATTTTAGTCTGCTACCCATTTATTTACAATAATAGAAAAGTTAGAAACATATTTTTATTATTACACAGTTTGTTATAAAATTGTTTTGTTTTAAGTTGAATGAAATTTTTAACAAGTTTAAAATACATACATAAATATGCACATGATGTGAACAATGTACAATCAATTTCGTTTGAAAAAATAATTTTAAATTCAAGAAAGAGTTTATATATGTATGAGTTAAGTTAAATTTACAATCATTGCTTAATCATGACATTGGCTACGACGTTTATCACTCCTATAGCATTAAATCAATTAAAAATAATGTACAGTTTAAAAAGGTTTGTGCTGAAAATTTTTTCCCAATAACTTTACACTTTTACATTTTAAACTTTTGTAATCAACGTTTTTGGATTAAGAAGCTTAAAGGTATAGAATAATTTTTTGAGGTATAGAATAACATTCCAATAATTGAATTGTTGCCATTAATTTACAGCAACCTTCGTTAGCGGCAAGCTGAAAGTAAATTAAATATTGTTGTTGTGTGGTCTTTGTTTCTTAATAACAATTTTGCACTGACTTAATACTTTGGCTTTGTTATAATCCTTATCATTTGTCAAATTTTTCTAAGATTAATAAAAAATAATTCATGTTCTTATTAACTTTTTTATTGTACTTAGATGAAACAGCAAGAAACGTAAAAATTTATAAAACCAGTGAACCCTCAATTGCCATTAACACACATTTATGTATTTCCTAGTTTTTAACATAATCAAAAATTTCAATCAATTTAAATGTTTTTATATTATTTATTCTTATTATTGTTAAAATTAAAAAAAATATGAATATATTTGAATATGTATAAAATCAAAATTATGAAAACTGCATTCTTGCTACTTAAGTATATAATAAAAATGGGTAAATGAATAAATCAACGTAAACATCTAAATCCAAAAAAAATTGCTAAAAATAAACATGCAGAAATTATGTTTAATTTAAATACATTTAACTGTTATGTTATCACAATTCAATACCACAAAAAAAATTCTGTACGTAAAAAAGAATTTTTAATTTTTGTTTTAATAATTTTTTTAATAATATTTAAATAAATGTTTTTATTACAGATCAAACCCTTTAAGAAGTACGATTGCAATACTTTTGAGCCAATCTAAGTGAGTGTGCGCAAAATTCATCTAAAAACATGTCAAAAAAACCATACTCTATATATACATATATGTGTGTTATATATATTTATAGTTATGTAATGTTATGAGTACAATAAGAAAGAAAAAGATATACATACATGTAATAAATTAATTTTAGCAGTACTTATAAATATTTTTAACTCTTTATTAAAATCATTATGCAGAAGTAGATGATGTACATATACATACATATATATTTATAATAGGATTATAAATATTAATTCAAAGTAATTTGTCCAAATTTTCATAGCTTTTTATGAGGCATTTTCAAAAGGCAAAAGAGTAAGAAAATTATAATATTTTATGCCTATATAACGTAGTTTAAATTTGGGAAAAGTAATTTATTATTTTTTAATTTTAATGCTTTACTCTATTACATGTTATATATAGAATGTATATGTATATTACAAATTTCTACCACTTTCAATTAAATATTAACTTTTCTGGACGTACAACATGCTACAAAATATTACCAAAAATTTATTTACAGAGATGAAAATATGGAGGATTATTTATTTTGCAGTTAAAAATGTTTAAAAGTAATAGAAAACTTAAAAAAATTTTTTTAATGTTTTTGGGGTGTTTTACTTTTTTTTTTATAAATATCAAATATAACAAAAAAAAAACTTAAAATATTTCAGTAATACAACAATAGTTTCATAAAAAGTGGATGAATTTTGTGTATTGCTATTAATGTGCACGTATCAATAAATATACCAAATTTGATTGAACCATTTTCAATATCAAACCGAATTAACTTTTTACCATTGTCATTTTAAACGCGATACCTTATGTTCACATATTGTTGGTAATTACATATTATTAGTACTATTAAAAAAACAGGTGTAATTATTTTTTCTTACAGATGAAAAAGCATACTTTATTTAAAATTTAAATTTATATGTTATTCAGTACAGTTTTTCTTATGCCAATGGGCAATCATTAGGTTTATTATCATTATTGTACAATTTAACAATTATTACTTTTAAACTGAACTGTGCAAAAATTTTCCATACTTTTTACTTTAAAATTAAGTTTATTCACTGAAAAGGAATACAAATGTAGCCTAACAAATCACTTTAGTATTTATTTCTTCAAGAAGTTTTAGACTTTTAATTATACACAGTCTATAAATAAAAAAATATTTTTTTTTTCATATAAAATTTTTCTGATAAAAAAATTATATTTTTTTTTTCAAATATTTAATTCAATTATTCAATTTAAAAAAAAATCGCTTTTCCAAATGTGGATATTAAGGACACATAGCTGCCTAAAAAAAAACACTTTTTTGCAGATTATTCGAACCCAAATAAAAAAACGAAAATTTTATTCGAAAACTATTTTCTCCAATCTTCCAAAATTTTTTCCTCGATTTTTCTACTCAGGCAATAAAGTCGAAGAAAAAATAAATTTTGTAATAGCTACATACATATGTATGTTTAAAAAGAAAATTTCAATTTAAAAAAAATTAAATTTTGAATTCCATTAAAAATATTGAAAAAAATTTTTATTTTAAATTGAGTTTAATTTCATTTTTATTTTACATATTACTCGTAATAATCATTTTTTTTTCGAAATTTAAATTTTTGCTTATTTTTCTAGTAATTTGCTGGAAAAAAGTACCTTTAAATAAATAGGCTCTTAATTTAAAAAATTTAAAATTTGTCTTTTTCTCATAGAATTTTTTTTTAATTTTAAACGTCATTAAGAAATAAATGGCTCAATACTTACATATTTCTGTAAGAAAATAATATTTTATTGTGTCACCTATTCAGAAAAGAATAATTAAATTTTTTTTTTGAAATTGAGTACTTTTGAAAAAAAATTTCTTGATCCATCCTAAAGGTATTTTTTGCCCAAAGTTGAATAAAAAAGAATAAAAATATGAATTAATCATTGTACGATAAAAATGGTAACTTATATGTACATACATATGTACATATAGCCAAAAAATTACTACTTCTTTGCTAATTAATTCAAATAGTTTTCTCTTTACTTTGGCCAAATTAAAAAAAATATTACAAATTTTCAAGTACGACTTGCATGTAAATTTTCAAATTTACTATCAAAAAGTTTCAAAATAAAAAGTAATGGTCAATCAAATTAAAAAATAAGACACAATTTTTAACTATAGAATGCATAAATTTTCGTAGTATTGTGGACTTAAAACTTTGTTATTTAAAATGAGGAAAAAAACAATGTAAATATACTTATTTCATAACAAAAATTTTATTTAAAAAAAATATTCAAATTCTGTAAACAAAACTATCAAAGTTATTGTAAGTGATCTCTATAAAACTTCTAATTTCGAAAAAGAAACCAAACTTCAAAGTCATTCAAACTCTAAATACAAAAACAAAAAAAGATCAAACACGAACTGATACTTAAAAAATTAAGAAAAGAAAAACACATAATAAAACATGAATGTCTAATGATTGAATTTTTTTTTTGTTCTTTTACTAAAAATTATGCCTGGCCACGCATTTAAAAAATTTTTTCTCTTGTGGTAATTTTGAATTTTTAGAATTTTACTTTTAAAGAAATTTCATTAAAAAAATTAAGAACTATAAAATAATGATAAGTTTGTCTTCAAATCTGTGAAGTAAAAAAAAAC